CTGTTGACGGAATATTCACATTGAGTATTAATTAGTAGCAGTCAGTTAACTCTCTCCACGTCCATGTGACTCGCCTCCACCAAGAACCACATAATACCAAAATACAGATGGGATAGCGGCGAATTCGCAACTAATTCTTTCTCCAGACTACTGCGGAACTTATCGAGGCGTCATACTGAGACGCATACTGAACGCATCGCACTGCATTGGGTGTGTCTTTGCTACTTCAAGCGTGCGTGTTTAAGCGTGTGTGTGCGCGTGTGCGCACGCACATGCACATCCTCTTTCATTTCGGCATAAAAAGTTAAACCCAGCACGCAGCATAGGCTGAACTTCTTTTCCAAACTTTCATCTATAGTCACGAGGAAAACAGAATGAATAGGGTAGTTCAAGTAGTTACGCCCGTTAGTTCTCTGACCCACTGCGTCGCGAATGCAGTGGTTACAGTAGTTACGGCGAACAAAGGTGCGCTATGAAATACTGTAATTCATGTGAGCTACAGCGTAACACAAAAAAAAAGACAACGCATGGGAATTTCGGAGGCTTACAACAGGGATGACACCTTCACCAAACCTCCAAGCTTTCGTCTAGTTAAAGGACCCTTTAACGTTTTCCAACCAGGGTACAGTTACTCTGAGCCAAACGTTTGTGCTGGTTTTCGCGCATTCTCCAGCTATGAATGTAAAAACACGCAAGGTAGCAGAATACGACGCGACTACACGAGATGCTTTCTGAAACTTTGAGACGCGAGACGCTTCAACGTTTACGAGACCGCTACTTCTCCACCGGGATTTTCTTTTTTTTTCGTTTTTTTTTTCTTCGTTTCGTACGGCAGCAGACAAGCCGGGAAAAGCGAATGGCGTAAGGAAAGAGAACAGGTGCAAAATCGTAGATGCCGTAAAGACTAGTGCCGCAGTAACACCCCCTAGCGAGCACAGGCGACAAAACAATACCGAGAATTTCTCAGCCTTCTAAAACACCGAAAGCGCGCTGGTTCGCATGCTTCCGAGAACAACCAGCCACTCTGAAAGTGGCCCCGCAAAAACTCGCGCAGTTAGGGACACAACGGAGGGAGAAAAAAAAAAGAGCCACGAAACTTCCCAGTTCACGTTAACTACGACGCTGACGCGAGCGCCATCTGTGCTTACGAGAAGGCACGAAGGTAGGGGCAAAAACGAGAGAGAAATGAAAAAGTGGTCTGGTATTGCGACGTGTTTACGAAACCAAGCGGCTTCTAAGAAAGGAAGGCCACGCAGAAGCAGCAAAAGGTTGTAAGCAGGTGCGTCGTCTGATACTGGTGTGACGCGTGTAATCCGGATCGAATTTTCCTTAACAGTCACGATTGGCTCGTTTACGCAAGTTGCAGAACGCATCCAATCGCCGTTGAAAAATTTCACATCGACCAGGCTTGATCGCGATCGGCAGTGTACCACGTGACACCAGTATTACAATGGGTTTTGGGGATCCTCAAATGTATAGCTGCGTCCACGTCTGCATAGAGCGCGCGAGCGGTCAGTTTTGGTAGGTTTTTTTTTTCCTATGCGGGCAAACGCCTTGTGGCACTTGGCGGATTCTGACGTGGTCAGCATGACTATTAGGCCATGCATGACTCTGACACATTTCGTCAAAAACCGAAAACGCCGGAAGGTGTTATCCCGCAGAGCAAAAAAAAACAAAAAAAACAGAAAGGCTGTGGCTCCGCTCATTTATGCCTCGTTGGGCAGGTGGGGGAGGGGGTGAAGTAAGGGTTATTTTATTGTTCAGCACTTTTGTTATAGAACAACGGATGGTCGACATTTCCAGAGCACTCCACTAAGGCATCTCTCATAATCATATCGTGGCTTTGGGCGTGAAACCCTCAGATATTATTAATAATCTTATTGTTTAGACCGTCGTATAGTCACGCATCGGGTATATCTTGCGTCTCGTGGCATGGAGGAGGTTGTGATGCGAAAAAATCGGCATCACGAGTTGATGTCACATGGTGACGGATGACGCAGCACAACGAAGTTTTCGTGTCACCATCATGGCGTCACGTGACGCAAAGGCATATGATGGCGTCATCACATCACATCGTAGCTTGGTCAACGGCGATCTGATCACGGAGGCCACGCAGAACCAGGTGAGGTTCCTTCGACCCCGAAGGCAATGCAAAACTACCTTATTTGCGGGAAGTTTATGATGCCTGCCGGCCAGGGCAGCATCAATACGACTTAGAGGAAAAAGAAGGATGAGAAGATGAGAGGATGAGAAAGGATCACCCTCTTAAGTAAATACATGAGGGACCCTGCGAGTTTCTTAAGTCATGCCGGCACATATCACAATAGGAAGCATTTCTAGGGCCTAAAAACAACCAATGCCAGCCGTATCACGTTCTTTTTTTTACACGGTGCAAATGTACAAGAACAAACTGCTGCTACGTTTATGACTGCTAGCCGGCAAGTTGTAACAACGCAAGCGTTACCTCGGGGCCCACCCGACATCCGAAGCAATAAGAATAAATCAGCATAAAAACAGCCAGTCATTGTGGTCAAGCGAAGATTCAGAAAGAAAGACATTTGTATTTGCACTGTTACCACACAAGTCTTTACGCAGACGTACGTTATCGTCCTGATGAACCCTTCCTTCAAGGACAACAGCAGCAACTCTAATAATAATAATAATAATAATAATAATAATAATAATAATAATAATAATAATAATAATAATAATAAATCACTGTTACAGGCGATGGTGTGCAATCTTGGTACGACTTTGAATTAGGCTCTATCTCGAATGCTTCAGCAACGAGACCCCTTGCGGGCATCACTCAAGCGGCGGCTTTATCCTCGCAATTTGAAATCGTTATTAACCAAGCAGGAAACGCTCAAGAACGAAAAAGGCGCCGGCTTCGTTAACGCCGTCAGCGCCACACTGCGAACGCAAAAAAAAAACATATAAATACACGCGCATAGCCGTGTGTCCATTCGTATACGAGCGCGAAAAGAGAAAATACAAATAAAACGACACACGAGGCACACTTTTCCATGACGTGGGACGAGGTGTTGACGACATGAAAGGCGTCGTCCAATTGGCGTCGGTGAGAATGAAAGCAACTCCACCTGACGGCCGTTTCAGGCGCTAAAAGAAGCTGACGCCGCCTTATTGCCGCTGCTCTATGGGCCTGCTTATAGAAAGGCCGACTGACGCGCGAAGAAGACCGGAGATGACGGGGAAAGCTCCAGCCGCTCTAAACGCGATAGCCACAGGCGTGACCCTTCTCTGGGGTGCAGAAGAAAAAAAAAAGATCTCCTTTATCGGACCACTGCGGTGGTGCAGTGGGTACACGTTGCTCGCCTTCTGACCTGAAGGTCGCGAGTGCGATCCCCAGAGCGGTGGTCCCAGTTCGATTTAGGCGAAAAGGGTAGAGGTCCACGTACTTAAGGTTTATAGGTGCACGTTCAAGAACCGGTCGAGAGGTACTAAGATCGATACCCAGCACCTCCAACAGAATGTAACGGGTGCAAGAGAGGAAAAGTCAAAAACTAGTTTATTATGGGCGAACTTGTGCCCTGAAAATTATGTGCGAAAAGATGGAACAGTCCGCTAGAGCGTTCCAAACCAAAAAACTGTTTTCTCTGCCCACGCACCTTCTTCTTCTTCGCAGCTCCAACCCACACTGGCTCGTGCCTGTGAACAAGAGGCATGAGTCGTGCGGCCCCAAGCAAGAGTGCGCGCAAGACTGTGGACGCTGATTTTTCATAATGTCGGATATTGTAAACAGTCTGTGTGGCAATATATAAGGTGTGTCATTCTGACAATAAATCCAGTTGTCAGTCAGCGCTAGTGCGTCGTCTCCCTTGTGTGTGGGTGTCCGGGCTGTTACTCGCCCGTTAGGAAGTGTTGATCAAGAACACAAGGTGGTCATGTCAAAGTGCTTTACTGTAGTGAAACTCGCAGTCACCACGCTGTGGCACGGGCACGTTCTGCCCCAGCAATCACTGTTATCAATTTGAGATTAACGCTTTCAGCTCCGTATACAAGTGTTTTGTTTGTTTGTTTTCAATAATTTTTAAGGCTTTGCATACAGATAGAAGGTCCATAGCAAAGAATTTTTTAGGTAGCGCGGGCGTGCTGAGGCGAACTTGTTTTGAAGGCGTTCACTCCTTGAGAGAAAATACCTATTTTACTCATTTACTTTCTGAAAACAACCCTTTCTATCTAAATTTCGAGGAGAAGGGGTAGGGCTAGGCGTACCCATCTTTACTCTAACGCTTGTCCGCTATTCCTTGCCCCATTCACACGCCAGCCTTTCCACATAAATCTTCGCCCCACACTTGCACTGCGGGTTACAGTAAGTCCCGAACACTGTATACATCTACCGCTGTAACCTCGGAATAACACAGCTCACCAGACGAAAGAAAAAGGAACGTACAGCCACGTCAGGAAAGAATAAAGGCCACATAAACCAGTTCCTGCTATAGCCAGCTACGGACGTTTGAATTTCCTAGTAAGCAAAAAAACAAAAATCCTGGAAATAAAGCTTCACCTACCGATTCAGTGGCGGCGAAAACTTCTGCGTGGTTAGTTGGCTGACGGGAGCGTGACGTATGGTATAAAAAGAAAGTCCTAAATATTCCTGCCATAAAAGAAAAAAAAAACTAAAGAAACCGCTTCGTCCTGGAGTCCTTCTGAGACGGACGAAAAATGGCGGCCGAAAAAAAAAAAGGCTCGCTTCCATATAAACTGTCATCTTCGTTAAGGAGAAAGGATACTAAAGAGCCAAGACCAAAAGTGCGAGCACCGAAAGCCGCCCCTCTCCCCTCCCAAAAAAAAAAATAAACAGAAAACTGCATTTCCAACCACTTCCATTGAAGACATTCAAGAGAAACCTAGCAAACCCGTAAGGACCTCTCCATCTTGACGACTACTGAAAGACCGGTTCATCTCGAGCATTCACGGTTTAAGCGTGTAGGCGGCAAGCAGCGTCACGCTCATAAACAAACAGGACGACGACGAAGGCGAGAGGCGTGAAGGTTTATGTCGACGGTGACGGTGGTTGGTTAAGCCTGCGTATCATTTGCGATAGCGCGAGCAAAGGGTGCCCGTATAAGTTGGTAGCCGACCGCAGCCTGAGCCACAGTACATTTCTTTAGGTTTGGGTAGACGCACGCCGGTGGCTTGCCAGGGAGGAAGAGGCGTTCGGAAGTGGCTTGATCGCGTAATACGAGTGGGGAGAGGCAACCAAACATGAACGTCGCACTGGTAGCCGGATTGGTCATCACCTCCCTACTGGCAGGTACGTCGAAGATCTTTGCCATGTCCAAATTTTTCAAGACAACCGCGTCATCGTAAGTTTAAAGCACACCATTAAAATGTATCCGGTATCTGTCCTATATACCAGCACGCATTTCCACTAGCGCCATCCCAGAAAGTCACTATTTATGACACATACTTGAAGAATTGACAAACGAAATCAAGTAGACACAACGGCCATCCACAAACTTACAAGTTCAAACACTGATTACAACGAAACTGATTGATATGCAAGGTTTAACGCCCCAAAACCACCATATGATTTGTGAGGGACGCCGTAGTGGAGGGCTCCGGAAATTTCGACCACCTGGGGTTCTTTAAACGCGCATCCAAATCCGAGCACACGGGCCTACAGCATTTTCGCCTCCACCTAAAATGCAGCCGCCGCAGACGGGAATCGATCCCGCGACCTGCGGGTGAGCAGCCGAGTACCTTAGCCACTAGAGCACCGCGGCGGGGCGATCACAACGTAACTACTGTCTGTATAAATCGATTTGTCCGGTCTGCCACATTGGTATACAGCGGTTACGATTCTCAGATTCTGACCCGAAGATCGCAGGTTTGATCTCGGCAACAGCGGTGACCTTGAATTCAACGGGGGCGGTACATTAAAGGCCTGCGTATACTGTGCAATGTCAGTGTGGCGCGGTAAAGAACACCAAGCATGGTACAAAATTCCAGAGCCCTCTACTACGACATTTCTCATGCCCATATCGCCCCTTTAAAACGCCGAACTGGGTGAATTATTCGACTAACGAGTTCGATTTTCTATTTAAAAAAAGAAACACGTCATCAAAACGTGACAGCACGCACTTCTCCCGGTTTTACACAAAACATGGCATCATAACGTTTAAGCGCTGCTTAACGTCTCGACCTGTTATTGTAACCGTTATTTCCACGACTGCCGTTTGCGACTATACACTTGCCACGGGGAGCCGCAACGTGCAGGCACCGCTTTCCGCACAAGTGCTGGCATTAAACAGTGAGCCACGCGAGCACGCAGAAAGTGATCACGTTTCCTTACGCACGCTGGCGTAACTTTATTGCATCGTGCCATCTTTCAATGTGTCACTTCCAGCGCGATGGTCACGACCAGAGAGAAAGCACCCGACAAATCTGTGTAACTCCACTCATTTTTTTTTTTTTTTGACGGATTGGAAAAATTTTCACCGCAATCGGGATTCGTGAAGCAATAAGCTCCGCTAGTGACGTCATTCAAAAGCTTCATTCAAAGGTAGTTGATCACCACTTAGAGTGAATCACTCAATTAATTCTAACAGTTCAGCTCTCTGAAAGCTCCGTTATCGATAATAATGCTCGATAACACAGCTCGATAAGTAAATGAGGCTCCAAGTCTCCCGTGGTCAGCTAGAGCGACGCAATGAATTCCAAGGAATGGAGCCGCCAAGCATGGTATCAGGTTAAGTTGGATGAAGTGGTTAAGGAATAATTGGTAACCAATTCGTAAAAATATGTAATTGCAAATGGTCTGAGTTCAAATAACTTCAGTACACGACCAACGGCTGTCAAAACCTTCTTTGTGTATACCTGCACGTCTGTTTCACCGCACGAATAATTTAAATATTTTGGGCGCACGCAAATTGCCTAATATTTCGCTACGCTAATCCCTCCGGGAACCGCTACAGCTAGTGCGTATTCGAGAGCACATTTAGAGATTTGCCGGCGATATTCGCATAAGTTTTCTTGTTACTGAGTCCCCCCCCCCCCCTATGCGATTCGTAATCCGTCGTAATCTCCGGTTACAAACACACGAACCCACTTATCAACTCCGAAGTGTTACTCGGGTATAGACTAGGGAGCCAAGCCAGGTGAAATTGACAAGTGTTCCGAACGGTACACCAGGTTTACAAGATTGCGAACAGCGCTCCGTGTCTCAAGGGGCTTAGCACTTATCATGAACTTCGCACAATAAAACATTTTCTGCACCACCAAAAGGTTGTAACTGGCAATAGCAGCGCATAAAAGTGATAATCCTAGTGAGCGCAGGGAATGATTGATTCATTGATATGTGGGGTTTAACGTCCCAAAACCACGATAGGATTATGAGAGACGCCGTAGTCGAGGGCTCCGGAAATTTCGACCACCTGGGGTTCTTTAACGTGCACCCAAATCTGAGCACACGGGCCTACAACATTTCCGCCTCCATCGGAAATGCAGCCGCCGCAGCCGGGTTCCGAACCCACGACCTGCGGGTCAGTAGCCGAGTACCTTAGCCACTAGACCACCGCGGCGGGGCTGAGCGCAAGAAAGAGTCAAAATGTCCGTTAGGTAAAACCTAAGAGGAGGTTTAACATATACCTGGTGTTTCTTCTTTTAAAACTTTGACAAACTTACCATAAAACGACATACATGCTTAGGTCGGCAAAAGAAAGCGGAACTGGCTCAGACTCACTGAGAAAATGCATATTGCGCTTTGTGCTCCCTCAGACTCAGAATCCCTAAAAATTTTCACGAGCCAAACTGACTCGGACTCAAACTCACGAGATAACTTTCTTCGACCGTATACCTCATGCACTCAGCGTCCAACTCGGCAAAATATTTCTCACCCGTACACGCTCAGACTCACGGCTCCAGCTGAGTCTGAGTGAGTCCGAGTTAGTCGACCGATGAGCAAGTTCGCCGACCTATGCCGGGCGGCTACATGAGTTACAGCCGCGTATCCAACTCTGGGTAGAACGCGCAAGCAGCTAGGCTTGCTTAGCGGCGCGACACCTTGCGGCGGTTCCGGGCTCTAACGTGGTGTCCCCGGGAGCAAGCGCGACCTAAGAGACGTGCTGACCTTCTTTGACACCAGTGGCGGCCACGTCTAAAGGTGCGCTTGTTTAACAGAAAGTACGCGAGTGCGGTATCTCGATTACGGAAGATGACGCATTTCGATAGTCAACAACCCGCATGCGTGGCGCGTGTTCAGGAATGCATCTTTTCGAACATTTAGCATCCCTCAATGGTAAGTTGCTCGGTGTACCTCTGGCTTCTTATGGTAAGCTAAGACCTCTATAAGACCTCATCGCGACTGAACCATTCCAAAACTATCCACCAACCTTTTCAGTCGTGTTAACGCTCACAAACATTCCCTTTTTTCCGTCAGCTATCCACCATTGGAATAGACTAGACAAGACAACAATATTGTGTGCTGTAACACTATTCAATCATTTATGAACATAATACAGTGCGTCAATCTTGAATTACGAGCTGTTTGACATTGTATCTTCTTTCTTGTTCTTCCAGTATGTATTTTATTTCGATGCTTAGTATGTGTTTTCTTGTCTCCACTCCTGCATGGGCCGTGAAAAGCCTGCATTATGCTCAAATTAAAAAAAATACTCGGGGACAACTTTCTGCGGCAATAAAGGGAAGACTACGGGGGCGGAGCTACTGCTCCTGAACTCCTTCGCGATATAGTCCGGTTCAACTCGCGGTTCGAATCACGGCCGCGTTTATGTAATTACACTGCACACAATTCGATAGGCCTGCTTTCGCAGCCATTTCTGAAAGAAATTCAGCACAAGCTCCTTCGGCGAGTTGTCGAAATAGCTGGAAGGCGATGCGCGCTCGCCTCAAGAGGAAGACGCCATTTTGACTGTCAGGTGCACGTAAAACGTGGGACGTTTTCAGACCCGCAAAAACGCGAAACGACTCATCGGAAAGCAACTAGAAATAATGGTACCTCCTTGGCGCGTGCAGCATCTCTTCATAAACAGCATCTAGCGGAAAATAATGTTGTTTTTTATTACTTTCACGTGAAAAGCACGGACGCATTCGTGAAACTGTATTCTACAACAGTGGCACATGCCCACTTTGGCTCCGTAGCTTTTCCCTTCATTGCCACGGAAAGTTGTCCCCGAGTATAGTTACAAACTGTAGAAAACATCGGTATTTCCTCCTCAAAGGCGGATGCACACAGGCCTGAACCAACGGGCGCGCGCTGCGAACTGACGTCATGTACGAGACTGCCGGTGGCTCCACCTTCGGAGAAGATTGCCAAGTGCAAGAAATAAACTATTTATTCAGTCGCAGACCCGATCAGCTGCCACGTTTCAATTGTCTGGGCGGAGCATCTGCGAACTTCTTGAGTTGTACCCTTGGTTTTAACTATCTCTACAAGTTCTGCCACACGAATTGGGGACACACCTGTCGTGAACTTGTGCGACTGTTTTGCTAGATTGCTTCCGATGTAGCCGTAATTATTTTTTCACTGCGAATGTAAGTGTTCCCCTTATTAACAAGTAAAAGTTTGTTGTACCTAATCGAAATATTAAACTCACCTCGGAAGTGATGGCGAATCTTCGCTGAACTGGGTCGGGCAGTTAACCTTTTCCACCGAAAACCATTCCACCCCCCCCCCCCCCCCGATTCTGTTTCCATACAGGGCAAATAACCCATCTGACATGCACGAAAAAAATTACGCCGTCACTGAGAAAAGCAAGCTGAATTGAATAGTGGGCAGCATATAGAAAACGGACCGGGACACTTCAGGGCTCTCCCGTATAGTACAGTGCGTACCAACGGTTGACCTTGGTGCGTACAGTCCTCTAAAGCGTTCACAATCTGTAGGCGGAAGGACTGGAGCACATACTTTGCGACTGCCCAACCTACAAACGTGAACGACAAACACCAACTTCTTCAAGTGAACGATTTCGCAAAGGGCCATCAACTGATGAGACCGTGTTAGGCCCCTGGCCTGACACTAACAGTGTAACTGTGATCATAGGCGCGGTATTGCCTTCTTAGAAGCAAATTGACTGTATGCACGGCTATAACGTTTCCTAAGTTTGAAATGATTGTATATAACCGCCTGTCTAACTCACCATCTTAATCTATTACTCCTTTTTTTCTCTCCCCTTTCCCCTCCCCCGGTGTACAGTAACGGGCTAGAGCATGCCATCGCTCGAACCGATCTCTCTGCATTTCTGTAAATACACCTCTCTCCCTCAGCACGTTTACTATCTCTAATAATAATTTTCTCCATAAACACGGGACATTTACGCACAATTTCTCAGAGTTGGACAGCAACGGCTCCTGGCGGAGCTCTTTTTTATTACAAGCTAGTAAACAACCCCTCTCCCACGGCCCAGCGTATCAACAGCGGCGCCCTCCTTGAACTGCCTGCCCGTTAAACCAATCCATTCCTTTCACGCTCTCTCTCTCTCTCTGATTATTCAGGCTGCGAAGGACAAGCAGCGATCAAAGGACAGAATGTGATGTACCCGCCTGGGCAGGCAACCAAGGGAGGTGGTTTCTTCCCTGGCGGCGGCTACTTTCCCGGCTCGAAAGGAGGCATGAAAGGCGGCGGATACAAGGGATTCCCGCAGCTGCCACAGCAGCCACAGTGTAAGAGCAACGTTTGCACTTATCCATGTAGCGGTATTAAGAACGCGTTAAAGACAATATAGAAGAGACAGATTACACCAACATGCGCTCAGTTCAAACGAAAGTTTATTCACAGAAACTGGCCAGTTTTTATCTTTTTTTTTCTGTACCTCTGACAGCTGTCTCCAGTAGATCCTCCGTGACCACTCACGGAGGATCTACTGGACTGTGTGCAACGCTATGGCCACTCAACCACCATGCCTGGCTATATATATATATATATATATATATATATATATATATATATATATATATATATATATATATATATATATATATATATATATATATATATATATATAAGGTCGCAGGTTCGTATCCTGCACACGGCAAGTTATCTTTTCACCCACTTTTCATTCTGTATAATTACATTACAATTCGGTTTAATATCTTCCCCTATACTTTTTTGGCAGTATTGCCTGTTAGGTCTCATTATTATTGTGTATAACACGGAAAAACGAGCCCTTAAGTAAACTCTTCTTTCCTTTATATATATCGGCAGTTTCACGAAATTGTGACAGAAGCCGCGAGTGGTCACAATTTCGTGAAACTGCCGCGGTGTGGAACGGGCGCAACTCCATCCGCGTCGAACTCCCTAACGGACCTTTACATTGACGGAGTACGACGGAGTTCGGTGATGGCCTTGTTACGGGGGCATCTCACCTGAAGATATACTACCGATACAGCAGTCGATTCATTGATGTGGCGTGTCCAATCTTCTTGTCGCGTCCTATCGTCATTCATGCGCTACAACGCCGCATTTAATGTGTTGCTGAAAGAGAACACACGCCTACAGCACAAGCGCAAAACAAACGAGTCACGAAGTGTCCGTCCCTAACACGCTCCTCTTCGTAATTTTGCGCAGATTCCCATCATGCCACAGCAGCAGTACCCGTTTATAGGGCCACTCCAGCGACCGGAACAAGAGCCGTTCATGGGCTGAAGTTGGAGGGCTCACCCTCGCAAGGCCCCACGTCGCGGATTGTTTGAGTGCTTAAGCAGGTAAAAAACAAAAATAACTATTAAAAAAGACACGTGGAGGCGAGAGATTACTGTGTACTGGTTGCTTCGTTTCAACGGCAGCGCTTTCACCTTGAAGAAATAAAAAAAAAACGTCATCTGCAGTGTCACCGTTCTGCGGTCGTTGTTCACTGTGTGTATTCGTGTTATCATCAGTCTGATTACACAACTGCACGACAACGTATCGTACCTCATGTTTAGACAATCGACTCGGTCGTATGTGATTGCCGCTTACACGTCATCCCCGCAAAGTTATTATCTTTGGTTTCACGTCCCAAAGCCACAATATGATCACGAGAAATGCCCCAGCGGAAGGCTCCGGAAATTTTCACCATGTGTGGTAATTGAACGTGTACTGAAATCGCCCAGCACACGGGCCTCAACCATTTCAGCACCACCGAAAAACGACCGCCGCGACTGGAATCGAACGCGCGAACTTCGGGTGTGCAGCAGAACACCGTAGCCACTGATCCACCAGGGCGGGCTACGCCCACAAAGTTCCTAAATGCGTTCAATTGCAAATTGAATAGCTAGGTATCAATATTAATCCCTCTGGGAGGGCCGGGAATGTCGTTTGCACAGAGGGGAGTTCAAAAGCGCTTTCCTACTCGCCATGCTGGTCTAATGGTCCCGCCACTCGACTGCGGACCTGAAGGTAGCAGAATCGAATCCCAGCCGCTGCGCGGTCGCATTTTCGGCGAAGGCAAAAAATGCTCGGCGATACCTTCCGACGGACGACACAGAAGCTGCGTAGCAAGTAAAGCCTGAAAGACAAAACTAAGAGACGTTCGTGCCCTAAACTGGTTGATGGATATGTCGGATTTAACGTCTCAAAACCACCATATCATTATGAGAGACGCCGTAGTGGAGGGCTCCGGAAATTTCGACCACCTGGGGTTCTTTAACGTGCACCCAAATCTGAGTACACGGGCCCCGCCATGGTGGTCTAGTGGCTAAGGTACTCGGCTGCTGACCCGCAGGTCGCGATCAAATCCCGGCTGTGGCGGCTGCATTTCCGATGGAGGCGGAAATGTTGTAGGCCCGTGTACTCAGACTTGGGTGCACGTTAAAGAACCCCAGGTGGTCAAAATTTCCGGAGCCCTCCACTACGGCGTCCCTCATAATCAATGGTGGTTTTGGGACGTTAAACCCTACAAATTAATCCATCAACCAATCTGGGTACACGGGCCTACAACTCCCTAAACGGGTTGAGAAAAATATTACAGGGTTACAGATTTGAACCTGATTAATGTTTAATTTCAGGGAGGAGCCTGACTTCACTGCCTTATGGGCAAAAAGCGATCACATCACGAAAGTCCTTTTATGACGTGTTGCACTTAGCGCAAGTTGTGAAACAGTTTGTGTAATAAAGTTATCGTGGTTTCACTCGCACACAGAGCAGATTGAAATACGCAATAAAAACACCCTTACACGCTCATCAAGAACGTAAGAGCGCGCAACGTATTGTAATAAAGCGAATTACCACGTGGCCAACCACGTGTTAAAGCGAAGCCAGAGAAAGAGTTTCTGTTTCGAAACAAAGATGCAATACCCTGCACGCAAGTTAATGGGCGGACTGACGCTGCCCCATGATATTTTATTACCACGAACGCAGCTGCTTTTGTAGCCCGCTGATCAAGATTTTATCATTATTTCTGTGGTCGCAAAAAGCGCAGCTACTCGAACAACAGCACGTGAAAGCTGCATCAGCCCTTTTCGATCGCAACGAAGACAGCACAGCCTGCTCGAAACTTCCTGCGTCACAGAAGAGATGACGCGGCGACATTTAGTAATCGTGTTCATTGGGACGTTGCTCTTCACTACTAGCAACGGTGAGTCCTTACGTCACTCATTTGCAGCCAATCAGTTGCACGAGCACACGGGGTGAAACTCGTCGTACAACTAATTGATTAATTGATTTGTAGGGTTTAACGTCCCAAAACCACCATACGATTATGAGAGACGCCGTAGTGGAGGGTTCCGGAAATTTCGACCACCTGGGGTTCTTTAACGTGCACCCAAATCTGAGTACACGGGCCTACAACATTTCCGCCTCCATCAGAAATGCAGCCGCCGCAGCCGGGATTTGATCCCGCGACCTGCGGGTCAGCAGCCGAGTACCTTAGCCACTAGACCACCGTGGCGCGGCCTCGTCGTACAACTAAAATCACTCGCCTAAAAAAAACACCGCAGTCACACTAGGTGTGAAATCTGCACTAACGGAGCTCCGATTCCAGTCTGTTTCCTGCGTGATTTCATTTTGACGTGAACAAAAAGGAAGACGCTAAATTTAACGCTGGCAGGTATCAGAGTCTTAACAGTCACCACAAGTTGCATCTTCTCTGTAATGTGGCACCAGGGAATGTCGCAAACTACTAGAAAAGCTGTTCTACATTTTCTTAAAGCACTGCACTTGGTACTAAGCTGTAAGCTGATCGTTGTTCTGAATAGTCATTGTACAGTACTGACGTATTCAAACAAGACATCAAATTTGCCGACTTGAAGACTTGTATTCTCCGTTCCTCGGGATAGCCCCACCGTGGTGGTCTAGTGGCTAAGGTACTCGGCTGCTGACCCAAAGGGCGCGGGTTCAAATCCCGGCTGCGGCGGCTGCATTCTCGATGGAGGCGGAAATGTTGTAGGCCCATGTGCTCAGATTTGGGTGCACGTTAAAGAACCCCAGGTGGTCGAAATTTCCGGAGCCCTCCACTACGGCGTCTCTCATAATCATATAGTGGTTTCGGGACGTTAAACCCCACATATCTATCTATCTCCATTCCTCGAGATAACCTCGTCATGTCGCTACCACTCCAGTCTCTAATGACAGTGTGGGCTCTGATTTACCAATTCGAGTCTAAGTTACACCATTGTGACCCAAACTGAAGATGTTGGAAACGAATGACTATGTTACACTTATCCCTAAATTGTCCTGTTCCAATCCGTGAGTACTGTACGTACGCGCCACCTCTACGTGTCCCCATCGTCACCCTTCATCACTCTTTTTTTTTTTAGCTTTTCCCTTCTCTACTGCACAGAGAAGCAGGCTAGACCGAATAAACTTCAGACAAACTCTCGGACTTTTAATAATCTCTCTCTCTCTATGGATACTTTGTGAGCTTGTGTGGATGTCTTTGATTAAGCCATTCGTATAGTAGGGATGCATGGAAAAAGACACCTGGCAGCTTGCTGCCACATCCACCCCTATACTACAGTCAGTTTAGACCCCATTCCTGCTCGAGCCACCCTTCACCATTTCGCTCCGTATCTGGATGGATGGATGGATGGATGTATCCGGCTGTGCCCTTCAGACCGTGCGGTGGCTCATGCCACCAAGGCGAAAAGTTAGGTACTATCACTGTGTGTTTAAGGATTGAATTTCACTCGCGCCTCGATTGTCACCACCGATCAGTTAGCCTATTCCTGTTTATTTCTACCCATTTCAAGTCTATTTTGCCTTCATTGTCCCTAATCCCCAATGCTTTGAAAAATTCGGCGCCATTATCTTCGGCTATAGGATGGAGCCCTCTACAGAACATTATCAAATGTTCAGCCATTTCTTCCCCCTCTCCACACGCAATGCACCGTTTCTGTGCCTTCGTATTTTTCTCGGTACGTCTTGGTTCGCAATACTCCCGTTCACGGTGTAAGAAGTAGCTTCTTACACCGTGCTCCCGTTCTAGCCTCGAAAAGCAGAGAACTATACCCCGAGAATTATCGTAGATTTTTTTCTCCCGCAATTTCCTGCTTAAAATTTCGGTAGGTCTGACCGGGGCAGTTACCGCCATTTGTAGGTTTATCTGGTAACTGGACCATAACATCCAGCGCGGGCTCCCAACTGAAGTCAGGCCCAGGCCTAGAACACCTCAACTGTTGAAAAAATATGCCTTCTCGTGTTACAAAGACAGCCTGGCTGCATTTCGCCTTATCCTATTTCTTCTCGTTTGTAGCTGCATTGCATGTCTCCTTGTTTATCTCCTTGTTTATCATCTTTTTGTATATCATCTCCTTGTTTATCACCTCCTGTTTTATCTAATCACTCAGTACGAGGAGGACACCTACGTCCTGCAAGCTCGACGTTCAACTAAATGATGATGGGAGGGTCCAGTTCAACCACACTTCAATTCTAACAACCACATCAACTCTAACAAATCTAAATGCATGTCAATAACCCGGCGATCTATTTCTCCCCCCTGTACCTACAGAATTAACGCCGTTCCCCTCCAGCATGTCTCTTCATATAAGTACCTCGGCGTTTACATTACCAACAATCTATCTTGGCACACGCATGTTACCTACATCTGTAATAACGCTAACCGAACGCTAGGATACTTACGCCGCAACTTTTCTCGCGCTCCGCTGCCCCTCAAAATTCTATTATACCGATCACTAATTCGCCCAAAGCTTGAGTACGCGTCCGCTATATGGGATCCCGTGCAGCAAAATTTAATTAACGCGTTAGAATCTGTTCAGAACCGCTCAGTTCGGTTCATTTGTTCTAATTATTCCCGGACTGCTAGCATATCAGAAATGAAATCTAACCTTGACCTACCCAATTTAACTGTCCGGAGGAAACTGGCGCGACTGCATTTTTTTCATAAGATATTTTTTTCACAATCCATCAATGAAGCGAGACCTCATTTCACAACCGTCATACCACTCATCGCGCATTGATCATCAGCATAAGGTTGCCATTCCGTTTTGCCGCACCAAATTCTTTTCAGCAGCCTTCTTACCGAAAACAGCCGCCGATTGGAACCACCTTCCCTCTTCCGTTGTATCAATAACAGACCCTTTGTTATTCAAGACTGCAATTTCTCAGCAATGCTTGTAACTATACGCAGTTTCCATTATCTATCTTTGTCTTGTATGTGCTTGAATTCTTATACATTTTTAGTTGACTTATGTTGCCTTCCTGATTTGCGCATCTGATACTTGTTTCTTTATTTTGTCTTTTTTTCTTGTGTGTTATATATGTTGTACCCACCCCCTCTGTAATGCCCTACGGGCCCTGAGGGTATTCTAATAAATAAATAAATAAATAAATTATTAGAGATTGGCGGAATTCACAAGCTCTCCTTTTTCATCACATCGCATTGGGCTACTCATCTTGAACACAAGTTATGATTAACGTAAGTGGCCGATTACAACCTACTTATCAATAATCACAGCGACAAAACAACTGGTGTTCTAAAAGTGCCGATACAGAACTTGTATAACGTATCTCCTCCTAAAGCTGAGTTTTCCCTCAAGGCAATTTGTTCCGAGCTCACGCAGTATTTGCGAATCGACACCCGAGCCGGCAGCGCTATATGCGGATTCTCCATAGGTGATTCGTCCTGCACCGTTAAGGCTGGTGCACACCGGCGACTAGCAGCGGTCGCGCGACCATTCGCGACTGGCGACCAAAAAGCGACTGATGTTCACACCGACAGAGGCTGCATGCGAGCGACCGGAAGTCGCAAAACCGGAGAGTCACGTCCGGATCTCGTTATGAGCGAGAACTCCTGAGACCGGCGCGATCAGCTGATCGCCGCCAGCTGGGTCCGTTCTCGCACAGCGTTCCCAACAGCGTCAAGTTCAATTCAAGCGAAGAACAAGACAATTTCATGGTGCTGATGCACTGTGCCATGGTGTCAGCGCTGGCATCACAGATGCCTCCAAAGAAAAAAAAGCCGGTAGTGGATGTGACCATCCTTTCGATCGCGGGAATTGACCGGCCATGCAAGCCGCCTGCCTTCAGAGCTGCGCTGACACGACGAGGAGTATTTCCGAGAGTCGTACGTATTCAGAAACCATCCTTGAATTTCCCTTGACTTGCCACAGCCTACAATGCAGCACAAATGCGTCTCGAACGTGGAGTCTTAAGTCGTTGCCAAGGCATGAAGTACAAACGTCTTCCAAACACGCTGCGTTGAATGCGCTGACAAGTCAAGTTCAAGACAAAAAAAAGTTTCCGAATACGGGGAAAAGACAGTGCACAATTTATTTTCTCTTTACTTTGACGGTGTTTAGCTTCTTGCGAATGCCACCACGTAAATTCGACAATTTGCTCGAGTTGCTGCGGCCCGCCATCTCCAAGCCAAGTATTCCGTGGTGGCCATGGTGCCACAGACCCAGAGGAACGCACTCGTTTGTATCTGGCGGCAGGAAGCCAGCGCAATGAAAAAAAATTGAGCATCGCTGATTGGCTAAGCAGCTTTGCGACTGCAGTCGCGCGACTGAAAAATCGGTCAAGAAGCGACTGGCCAACGCAGTCGCTTTGCGACCGTTTGCGACCGTTCGCGACTGGTTGCGACCAGTCGCAAATGGTCGCGCGACCGCTGCTAGTCGCCGGTGTGCACCAGCCTTTACAGCTGCGTCGGTGAAGTCATTCTTGGCGCAACGCCAACTTTAATCGCCTGGCTTCGTACACCCCGGCGCACCGCGAATCTTCGAAGTGGAAGCACGTACGCCCACGCGCAAAAAGCCAATGTCACTCAATCTCTATACGCCTTATTCGCAGTATTCATGCGTAAGGCATGATTCTGTTTGGACTCGGCTACATTAATTAATTTATTTATCTCGACAAAAGTTTCGACACCCTGAAGTGGGATTTAAAAAAAGAAAAAAAAACTACCTAACTTTCTCATTCACGAACGCCCGTCAAATGCGAGTCAATTTAGAACATGAGCTTGACCTATAATACGACAGTTTGTGCAGCGCGGCCTCGGTGAACAGCAAGCAGGCTACTTGAAAGCTGAGTCATCTATATTTCCGTCTACCCTCGCTGACTTGATTGAAAGAAACTAAACTCACTTAATATCTTCAAAGCAACTCGGCTATGCATGTTTTA